GCCTATGCATGCATACATTTGTCCTATCTAAAGCCTATGCATGCATACATGTGTCCTATCTAAAGCCTATGCATGCATACATGTGTCCTATCTAATGCCTTTGCATGCATACATGTGTCCTATCTAAAGCCTGTGCATGTATACACGCACACACCCGCATTCTATCTAAAACTCATGCATGCATACACGTGCAATGCACCCATGTGTCCTATCTAAAGCCTATGTGTGCATACATGTGCACACACACATCTTTTCTGAAGTCCACACACGGTTTGATGCCCTTCAAGGATTGCAGTTTTTCAGGAAGAATTTCCTCATAGGTCTCCCCCATCCCACCTTAGACACACATTCAATTTGGGTGTTCCTTGGCCTCTCTATAGTTTTTGCTGCTGTTGTCTAATTTCTCTTTCATAAGAACTCTCACCTGTGTTGTTTTGTATTGTGATTGCCTCCCTCATGCCCATTCTTTCTATCTTTGGGTAATAAGGTAACTCTTGTACCCTGCTTTTACTTGAGGAATCTACTCCTCTGTTTATGTGCTTTGTGGAAAATCAACTCTATCCTGAGCTCCAAGTCTGGGGAAAATGGCTTTGGCATAAGAAGTAAGAGCCACAGAAATTGGTTGAGGGGTGAAGATGTTACCAAATTCAAGACAATCAGTTTGGGAAAAAAATTTATTGGCAGTTTCTAGGTAAGATGTTTCCTTGATGTACTGGGAGGTCTCTGGGTATGATGGCCTGTTCCCCCTGAATTTGGAGGGGGAAGTAAGAAACCTGGGTGTTTTGGCTACTGGCATTATAATAAAGCTAACCCTGCAGAAGGCAGAGCTGAAGGACAGAGAGAAACTGGATCCTTGATGCCATTGGTAGAGCGGTTGAATCAAACTGAACCTGAAGCCAGATCTGGCCATGTGTTTCCAGTCACATGTCCCTGTAAATCACTTTTACTATTTAGGTCAGTTTGAATTGGCTTTGTTGTTACATGCAGAGAAGTCCTAATGCACTCTCTTTTTCTGCCCTGATTTTTCCTTCTCTCTCTTATTGTTCCTTTCCCCTTCCTTTTCTGTTAGATGAGGGTGTGCCTCTGTGACTTATCCTTGTTGTCATTTACAAACTGGGTGACCTCATTTATGACTGCAGTTTGCCATTGTCTTCCAAATCTGTAAAGTTCAAGGTCTAGGCAGGAATACCTAACAGTTTTTTTTCTTCTCTTCTTTCTTTTT